GTGTGCATGTGTGAGAACCTGAGTGCATGTGTGTGCAGAGATGGCTCAGTGGTTAAGAGCACGGGCTGTTCTTGTAAAGGACTCAGGTTTGGTTCCCAACATCACATAGTGGCTCACAGCAGACTGTGACTCCAGTTCCTGGTGAATCTGATACTCTTTTCTGGCCTCCATGGGCACCAGGAAAGCACATACAAAAACACTCAAACACAGAAAAATAAAAATAAACCTAGAGAAAAAAAAAGTCAATAGATTATGTTTAAAAAAAATGATTCCAGGCATTATTTACAACTTGCTTGTGAATGCACACAGGTAGCTTGGTTTTCACAGAAAACAGTTTTTCGATCATCTTTTTCCATGATTCTCGGCTGCTTCCACTAGTCTTGGGGCTGTTTATAGTGCTCGCTAGAGAAACGGGAACAACTCAATGCCAGCAGGTGCAAGTGTCTGACCTCCACAGTCACGGCCAGTGTAAAGACAAACAGCCACATCATCTCCTGTTTCCTTCTGCTTTAACTCTGAATGGGGCATCACTATTCCTTTGTCCATCAGCTATATGAGAAATTCACAGTGAAATTCTATAAAACCACTTTTTACCAGATAACGTGGCATTATTTTTGTTTCAGATGGTTATACCATAAGGGTTTGAACTTTATACAGCGTATTTTGCAGTATTTGTTCTGCATATCTCAGAAAAGTAAGTCTTCCAGTAAAATTTTGCCACATGCATGTTTCCAATTAAAAAAAAAAAAAAAGCATAGCTACTATTTAGATTCACTTGCTTTAGGAGGACCTGCAAAATGTTTTACTTTTGCAGGTTGAAGGTAACGGTGGTGGGGTGGCATGCTTAGTCCCACATTGCCCATGACACTTTGGCAGTGGTCCATGAATTCACAACCAGCCCTCCTCTTAGCTTTGGAAGATCTAAATGGTTCAAATACGATCCTCAGTAAATCTCTAGCTAAGGGAAGGAAATCCGTATCTATTATGTATCAGTGTTGTATGTATAAACGGAACTTGCTAATCACAAATACCAACTGTTTAGTACACGAAGGTCAGCCCCCAGCTGTGCACACTTGTCCATGGTATGTCCCCATACGCTGGGCCTCTGGACTAGCTGCAAGTGCAAATCACTAAGTCGGTCACAGAGACGGCTGGTAAGTAAATAATATAGATAACTTATGAATAAATAATAAAGGACACACATCTGAAACACAGAAAACAGTGAGGCACTGGAGGAGCAAAACATGTTGCTGAACTCCAGGAGAAAGGATCTGTGACATCAGGGTGGTTTCATGTGAATTGCATCATTCTTTCCTTCACAAACCAGGAGCATATACGAAGATGACTTGGTCAACAAAACAGTTCTTTCTCGGTTACTAAACAGGAAAAGCTACTCCAAACAATAGCTTTAAGGATAAGCTAAAGCTATTTTCTCTTACCAGCCGATATTTACACATAACACCTTTAAAAAGGTTGCTAGTTAGTGACTCTAAGGACTTCTGAATGTAGCTTTCAAGTAAAATCAAAGACACTGGCATTGTGCATAAAAAGGAAGGGCACAGGAATGCTTGAATCAGGCATTACATTTTATCAGCTACAGAAACAAAGCAAGAAGAAAAAAAAATGCAAAAGGATTCAATGAGGAGTTCCAAATGTCTCATTCATCAGTATCACATCTAAGATGTAAATGCCAAACTACTTTAACTAACTGTACACCTGCCTTGAAGAAAGATCCATTTTCCTTTTTGTTACACTGGCTTACAAGACTGCACATGACCAGGGACATGCTGTCAAGGAAACGTGACCACACATATTCATTTACTATGTGTCATGTATATTAGACACATTAGTCCACCTCCAAACATAAAGAGCCGTGAGTTTAGAGAAAAGGGAACAGCCATCCTGCTTCTGCTTTGCTCGACATGGGTGCAGATCGTAGGCAATTCTGGATCCTAAGTCACCCCAAGTCGAAGGTCTGGAAAGTTGAGGCCCGGCTTCCCCAATACTTATTTGGACACACATGGCTCAGTATGAAAAGCTTGCTCAGCCTCTACTCTTAGTCTGTCAAAAGGGACTACCACCGTGTGGCTGGTGCTTCACAAGGATGTGGGAGGAACAACTCGAACGGTGAAGTTAAGTATTCTCGGCAATCTCGGAGCTGCTCTCTGAACTTCTTCTCTATTACTACGGCGGACCTCAAACACCTGGCAGTGTAGCTGATGTGGAGACTGTGACACTCATTCTCCTAATCTCGCTCAGTCTCTCATCACCCTGTCTTGGATTGAACCCAGGCAAACTCCCAGCTCCAACAAGGCCTGTACTTCTAAGTGAGAAAAATGAACACCCTTTCACTGTTGAGAAAATTAAGGAGAAATACCTTTTTTTAACCCTCCTCTGAATTTATTCATTTACAAGAAAAAGAAAGCATTTCTAATATAAGAACCATGCTTTACTTGTCTCTAAGCCAACATATTTGATGATATTTACTAACAGTGATGGAATGAGGGTCAGCTTTATTGGCTAGTCATAGCCAATAAAGCTAAAGGTCATATGGTTGTTAGTTCAACCTGCCCTGGGTAACATTAATAAACAAAAAAATGACCACAAAAATCGGATTTTCAGTGAGAGCAAAGCTTTGAATCTAAATTTCAAAAGAGGCAAACATCCTATGTAAATAAGCAACTGAATGCATGGCATGGAGAACTGAAAAAAATCCAAGTCTTTAAATTATAAAGCTTTATATCAAATGATATTTGAACTTCACATGAGTGGAGTAGAGCTATCTTTTGATATACACTGATGCCTTGTTCCAAGACACCTCAGTGTGCCCTAACCCTAGAAGTCCCTTATATAAACAGAATGAAACTGCAGATAGCACTATCCCTTCTTACAAGGTGAATGTTAAACAGTTAATATATTGCTTAGGAAATAAGGATTGGAATAAAAGTCCACACAGGTACACTACACAACAATTTAACTCGAAAAGTTGGCTGAATCCGATAACGTGGAACTTATGCATTAGCAGGGTCCACTGGGCTTTCTCTCTCTCTCTCATGAGGCATTTTTACACTGTAGGTCTGGCTAAGTTTTTGCTTAAGTTTTGACAGAGAAATGCATGGCTGTCACTGTGATAGAAATCAGAGCAGACATTTCTTAAACTCTGTACTCTATTATATCAACACAACCCTAAGATGTAAACACTTGAGTACGAAGTACTTTAGGATAACTCTCAACCAGTTATTGTCTCCAATGCCAAGAGCTCAAAGTGCACACAACACAGTCAACTGAGATGAAGGAAAAGCTGTTAAGTTTGAGCGTTCTTTAAACTCTGCAAATGGGATTTCAGAGGGATATACATCATATTGTTTAATTACTGGAACCTTCAAACTTCAGTGTGAAGAATCACAGAGCTTGTTCATATAAAGGTATGTGGTGTACTCTAGACCTGAAACTGTATTATTAAGAAAATCCCAAGGAGAATTCATTTGCAGGTCTACAGTTCATCAGGGTCTTTATCCAAAACATGTAGCAGTCCCACTTCATACCTCTTTTGAACAACTGGGAAAATTTCTGCAAGAGTCAAGTATTATATAGTCTTCAAGGATGTGACAATCAACAAAAACTGTCACCTCAAATGGAGCAGAATTGGCCTCAAGCACGATGCTGGCAGAAAAGTGATTACCATATGCTTGCCACTTTTAAAATGGTATCTAAAACATGATAGGCAGGAGTTTGGTTTAACTCTCTGGTTTTCAGAAGTAGGATGGTGTTATGGCTTTCATTTATAACCAGGACAGAGAATTTGGGAATTCAAATTACCATCTGGGAAAATTTTTGCTGTTAAAAACAAAACAAAACAAAAGGTTGACATTTATATTTTGCAGTGTTCCAGAAAAAAAAAGTAAAGCCACTCAACAGCTGTCTTGTTGAATGAAACTGATTAAAATCTCAAAGTCTTTCTGTAGTCAATGTTTATGAGCACTTAAAACATCCTAAGTGTGTTTAAAATAAACATATCTAAGGTAGTAAGTTTTCTAACGGTGGCAGATCAAAAAATTAAAAAAGAAAATACTTTGCAAAGAAGTAGTATATGCCACCCAGTTGAAAAAAATCAATTAATAATCACACGGATTTTCGCATCTAAAGACAAAGAAAGGCTAAACTATTTTCCATTCATCTTGGCTGAATCAAGCCCCTCTCAAAAATCATAAAATCACTACCTACAAACTCAGAAACCCCGTGGCAGAGGTCACATTTCCCGAGGAAGGTTTATTTAAAGGGGAAGGGGGGCGGGGGAGAGAGTGACTACATTTATATCAGAAGTTTTCCTTTTAAAAAACCAGACTAACAGACCAGGCGTTGAGCAATCCTTCCACGCCACTGTCAACATCCTAGTCCCGATGAACCCTGCTCTGCACAAAGTGACAGCTCCAGGTGTGTCAACTGCAAACCCCAGCCTGTCCCAGAGCCTGTGCACACATCGCCTACGTGAAGACTGAAGGATCCCGGTGGGTCTGAGCCAGCTGTCGGGAAATCCCTTCCCCACCAGTTAATTCCTCATTCGTCAGAAGTCAACCTAAAGTTTGCTGCGTGGGAGACGTGTGGGCAGGGCTGACCAGCCCGCCCTTCTTTACGGCCAGCTTCCTAAGCACCCTCTTTGGCCCAGGATAACCGAAGCAAGAGCGAGCTGACAGTGTCAGGGCGAACTGTGACCAGAGATCGCGGAGCCCCACCGGCCCTGTCTCCACCGCGGTCGGGGGGCGGTGGCTCGGGGCCTGCTTCCCGAGGCCCGATACTGACCCGAGGATGCGGCCGCCGAGCCCAGGAGCACCGCGCAGAGCAGCAGCGTCAGCCCGACGCGGACCTGCATCCTGTTCGCCGAGGTCGAGAGCCGCCGCGGTCGCCGCGACCAACCCAGCCGCTGCCGCCTCGCCGCCGCCTCGCCACCGCCTCGCAGCCGCTCTTCCTGCTCAGGTTCCTTTTTTGCCCCTTCCCAGGCCTCCCTGGCCCAGCGCGCAGCCAATCCCCGGCCGCCGCTCCGGCCCCCTTGTCCAATGGCCGTGCTCGCTCCGCCCCGTTTGTGGACACGCCCTCTATGTCATCCTTTAGCCAATCACTGTGCACGGTTCTCACACCGGCTTTCCCGGTTGGACCACGGCCTCACCGACATGGCCCCAGCTAATTGGTAGCGCCTGAATCAGCGCGTTAGGTAAGGACTCGGATAAAATGGCCCTCCTCACCCGGGACTACAACTCCCACAATACACTTCACTAGAGTCTCTCGGCCGACGCTCTTGGGAGATGTAGTCCAGAACAGCGCAAGCGAACCAGCAGCAGGTGGCTGGGAAAGTGAGGAGTTGGGTTAGATACTCAAGGAATGGATGGATTCACGGCTCTCTTTTGCGTTTGAACCAGAACAAGTGTCATGGAACAGATATCACACGGTTAAGAACTGGTAAAGGTTGCTACGCATTTCTTTGTAATTATTTTGAGAATTTGAATTGGACATGACGTGAGCTCTGATAAATATACAACAGCTACATTAAAATTTTAAGTACTTTTAAAATTTAGTTGAAAAACACAGGCCTTTAAAAAAAAAGCTTGGGTAAAACAATACCTGTAATTTACAGAGGCCGCTCATGTTTTCTCTAATAAAACAAAAGGAAAGAAATTTCCCCCAGTGAAGATTAGTTCAACTCCTGTGTTCATGTTTGCTTCCAGATCCACTAGCCACTTGGTGAATGTGCCCACAGCTCTGGAACACCTCTTCAAACACTTGTCCTCATTCTTCTCTAGGGAAGTATTGCAATGCTCTCTTCTTCCTTGGCCAGAGATGGGATCAGACGATTGTGTGGAGACAGAGGTGAGAGACTAGGCGTTTCAGACATGGAGATAGTTATGGAGTAAGCAATGATGCAGGGCATGATTCCTTTGAGTCACAGGGCAGCGGCTTGCAATCTCCTTAATCAATTTAGGTTGTTCTGCTGAGATTTATTTCCCAGCACTGACATACAGTTGGTTCTAAGGCCAGGAACTCATCTGGGGTTTGGGGAAAGTCCTCCCTGTCTCACTGTCTTGACGTCTTTGAAAGTTGTTTTCTATCTTCTTTGACAGTCTTTATTTTTAGGGAGATGCTAAAAGATTAGCTGCTGTTCATTTGCATCAGAGGGGATGAGGAAAAGAAATCTTACAAATTTTCCTCTAGGCTTGTGCATATGTGGTGTGTGTGTGTGTGTGTGTGTGTGTGTGTGTGTGTGTGTGTGTGTACACATGTGTATTTGTGTGTGTGCAAAGTGGAGAGGACAGGTTGATGTCAGGTATGGTTTTCAATTTCTTCACTTTAGTTTATGAGACAGGGTCTATCACTCAGTACAGAGCTTATAGATTCAGCTGGACTGGTTTAACTAGAAGTCCCAAGGACCATCCTGTCTCCTCCTCTGTAGTAATGTGATTATAGGTTCATGACGCAGTGCTTGCTTTTTAAAAACATGGGTTCTGCAGGATGGAGCTCAGGTCCTCCATATTAGGTCTCAGGGTGTCCATATATTCAGAAATTAGCTGAACTATAAGAGGACTTCTGGTGGTTAGACACAAGCCAGCATTCTTCAGGAACTTGTGAAAAATGGTTTCCATCTGCCAAAAAGAGTCATTTTGCTTACAGAGGAACATACGGCTCTCCATTGACATGTACTGTCATATCGAAGCCCAAGTCAGCCTCCAGGCTCCCTCAGTCCCTGTTCTCAAGTACTTGTTATACATTTCAGAGCCCCACTGCCAATCTCTTCGCTCCATCTTCTCACCTTCCTTGTAACCGCTGCTCTCTAATATTCCTGCGATTGCCGCCTCTCACTTCTCTCACTGTTCCCTCACCATGCTATTTCGTTCTCTCCCCACCATTGTCCCGCCCCACCATCACTTCCCTCGTCCTGGCCATGTTAGCCCGCTTTCCTTTTTCTCGGCTCTGGACTCTTCCAGATGCCTCTGCTGTTTTCCCTCTCACACATACAATAAAAACCTTAAGATATCATGGAGTGGTCCCATTGGCAGTTTCGAATCTTAGGTGGTCTTTTAATAAAAAAATCCCGGAGCCAGATATCAGGGCGAAAGCTGAAAGATCAGAGAAGCAGCCAGCCAGCCACTAGTTCTTACCTCATTCTGGATGAGGACTCAAAGGCCTCCAGTCTGAGGAAACAAGACCAGCTGAGGATATGGGAAGGTGAGGTAGCTGTGGCTTATTCTTGTTCTCTGATCTTCCAGTGTTCACCCCAATACTTGGCCTCAGGTTTGATTTTATTAATAAGAACTTTTAAGATTCACGCTACATTAGGGTTCACAATATATCAATCAGCACAGTTTCTTTACTAATGGTGCTTGTACACTCAAGCACTTTACCAAATGTAAATATTCAACTCAACACAAGCAAGGACAAGGTGGGAAGCGGGAACTTCAGCTGAGAAAATGCTTCTTAGATTGAACCCGAGGAAACCCTGTGGGGCCATTTTCTTGATTAATGACTGATGTGAGTGGGTCCAGGCCACTGTGAGCAGTGCCATCCCTGGGCAGGTCTTCCTGGTTTGTATAAAAAAGTAGGCTGAGCAAGCCATGGAGAGCAAGCTAGGAAGCAGCATTCCTCCATGGTCTCTGCTTCAGTTCCTGCCTCCAGGCTCCTGCCTAGGCCTCCTTCATGTAGACTCTCACTAGTAAGATAAACAAACCCTTTCCTTTCCAAGCAGGCTTTGGTTATGGATTTTTATCACAGTAATAGAAATGACACAGTCTGAGTCATCTCTCCCTCAACAAGGTTTCATACTCTAGCCTAGGCTGGCCTGAAATTCACTATGTAGCCCAGGCTGGCCTTGAACTTATGTCAATCTTCTTACCATGCTGTGATTATAGGTATTGGCTGCCATGTTCAGCTCTAGGGTCTTATTTTTATTGCCTCCTTATCTTCATTTCTGACATCAACAGTATTCCCTCAGAGTTCCACTGTGTGGGATGGCTTTGTCAACTTGACACAAGGTAAAGCCATCTGAGAGAAGGGGACCTCAGTTAAGAAAGTGCCTCCATAAGATTGGGTTGTAGGCAAGCCTGTAAGGCATTTTCTTAATTAGTGATGGATGGGGGAGGCACCATTGTGGGAGGTGCCATTCTTAAACCCGTGGTCCTGGGTTTTGTAAGAAAGCAGGCTGAACAAGCCAGTAAGCTGTACCCTTCCATGCCCTCCGTAACAGCTCCTGCCTCCAGGTTCCGGATTTGAGTTCTTTCTTTGATGAATAGTGATATGGAAGTGTAAGCCAGAGAAACCCTTTCCTTCCCAACTTTCTTTTTGGTCACGGTGTTTTATTTCAGCAACAGAAACCCTAACTAAGACGTCCACTGTTTTGAAATCAGAGACTAGACTATGGTTTATTTTCCTAACTTTTATCATACCTATTATCAGTCTCATCCTTTTGAACCATGTGATTATTTTTTTTTAAATTTACTTTTATTTTTAATTGACTTATCAAGCAACAGGTTCCCTTATGGCATTTAATTATTTTTACATTGTATGAATACTTGATATTACTTTATATTATTGTATTGCTCACAGTATGACATTACTCATCTTTTTTTCTTTCTCAGTAGGAACTCCCTTATTGGCCCTCACTTCCTCTTCCCTGGAGATGCACCTGAATCCTAGGGACTCTACTGACCAACGCCAGTCTCCCTTCCCTCTTATCTAAGTCACATACAGTGGCTGCTTGGAATTTTTATCAGCCTCTACTTTAATAGAACACAGAACATGTAGGCTTTTCTTTACTTACATAAAATACAAATCTGTGTTCAAAGTTCTCTTTGGGGGAAGAAACTTCTGCCTAGCACACAGGAAATGGTGGTTATCTGATGACTAAGACTGGGGGGTGGGGGGCGGGGCTCTCTGTTTAGAAAAAGTCCAGCCTTTTCTTTTCTCATTTATTGTTTCTCCTGAGTACTTCATGCAGTTAGAGCCCCGGCTAGCTGCTGCGCAGATGGAGTTCTACTTCTCACCTGCCTGGCAGGTTTCTACATTAATACAATCTTCTGTTCTTTTGGGTCCCTTTACCTTTGGGACCTTCCCTTGACATGTCCTTTGCCTCGAGCTTGGGATCCTTCCCGACGTGACTTACATTTCTTGGTAGCTGAGACTTTCGCGGCCAGCCCTGTCCCTTTTACTCTTTATGTCTGTAAATAGCTCTCAGATATTTTCAGTCTGGCCGTTTAAATGGATTTAAACTTGCTAAGGTCAGACATCATTTATATGATTTCTTGTATGGGTATCGCCATCAGCTAACGCTAGATAATTGTTGATTGATAAATGTACTTTTCTGGTCTGGCGTACAGTTCCCACATTCAGGGAGAAAGCATTTTCTATATTGTGGCGTGTTTAACAAATGTTACTGTTTCTTACTGATTGTTTGCCAGGGGTGGGAATTCATTTTAGCCTCTTGATTTGGAAAGGTCTTGAGTTGGTAGAGCTTTCACCATTAGCCAGCCATCAGTAACTGACCTGTTTTGAAAATAATAACAGGACCTTGACTTTCTGGGGAAACTTGACATTTCAAAGTGGGGTCAGGACTGTGGGAAAGTCAGATTTATTTGGTCAGCCTGCTGCCTTGAATGATGTTTAGTTTCCGGGGTGGGGGCTGGGGGAAGAAAGTCTGTGAATTCTCAGGGGCCCTATCCAGTCTGAGCACATGCTCCTCCGGGTTCCCTGCCAGCACCCCAGTTAAGGTTATGGACTCACTCCGCTTGCACATGATATTTTCTGTCAGTCCCCAGTATTTGCTCAGCTGTCTCTATTCGGTCTGTCTCCCATTACATTTCTAAGTCCCTGTCATAGACTGCCAATTGCAGAAAACCTGTTTGCTCTTTACTGCAATACAGCACAGAGCCCGAGAGAGGGCGATGGGGAGTGGTTTAAATGTGCATAGCCCCCTGAAAGGGCTTCAGTACATCAACCCAGCTTACTTTTCACCTGAGTATCGTGGGGGAGCTCCAGGATTCATCCTGAGAGTGGAGTGGCTGTCCTCAACTCTCAGAGCGTTATATCCTTTCCTATGCTAAGGGATCGGTTTGAGCTGGTAATCTGCACAGGTTGCCAGCATTTGTATGGTGATGTCTGCCAAGGAAGGATTAAGGAGAGAGAAACAGGAAATTTTCTCAGAGCTTAGAGAACACTGTGCTTTCTTTGATGTAGTTGAGGCAAATTAAAGTTATTTCTCTTGTGTTTGTTTTGCATGCGTAAATAAAATGTAAATCCTTTTAACTAGTAGCCAGATACAAGGACACACCATGGTTTTCATTTACAGTCTGGACTATCAACTTGAATGAACAATGGCTTTGCACCTCATTGTATCCCTCATAACTTCGGGACAGCATCTGGAAGGTGTGTCATAAGTAATCCAAATAAATAACCTTCAGATGCTTGTGCCGCATTCTGTGATTACAGCTCAAGGACATCAGGTTCTAAGTGCAGGTCATAGATGGTGGAGGTGTGGTTTTACCAGTTCCGAACTTTGAAGCTGACAGATGGGGAGAGGGCGGCAGGCCCTCAGGCTGTGTACCAAGCTCCTTCCTGAAGGAATGTTTACTTTGTGGGATGTTTTCTCACTGCGTATTATTAGTCTTATCAGATAAAGGAAAAAAGCCAGGATGCTTTTATATCCAGAATAACTGGATAGGCATCTTTGGGTTTAATCTTCGTGTTGATGTGTTAATTCCTAGTTCTAAGAGGGCCTTGGTCAAAGCTAGAAGTAAGAATGGATTTGGTGATATTATGAGGAGACAGAAAACTTGGAGTCCCCATTAAATTCAGATACATAACCGTGGAGTAAATGGCAGTAT